AGTGCTGTATAGTTGTGCCTGTCGTCTGCTGACAACTGTCCAAGTATTTCCAGTGGTTGTCCCTTCAAGCTCGTTGCCAGTTACACTGCGTTCTGCTCCTCTGTCCATCCATTCATTCCTGCCAGTAGCTCAAATTGTCTATATGCTTCTCATGGTGCTTTCCCATCGAATTCCTGTGGTTTCCTTCATACTAGATCACCCCTATTGTTGACACTCGTGTCTGGAATGAGACTTCTGGCAGGACTGAATATGTCTGCACTAGGGTTTAGCTGCGGGGTCTAGAAGGGACTTCCCACTGTCTGAGGCTGATTAGGTCGATGGCTAATATATCTTCCGTGTGTAAAAGACAGTAAATCAAAGGATTGATGTATTTAATTCAATTTGAAATTTATCGAGCTTTTCCATTTATACTTCTTCTTTCCTTTCTTGTTCCAGTTGTCACTGCTATAGTCTCTCTTCTTGTTTCTTTTCTCGTTCTTCTTCTTTCTTTCTTTTTCCTCCAACAGCTGTTGTAATCTCTCTTCTTGTTTCTTTTCTCGTTCTTCTTGTTTATTTTCTTTTTCCTCCAACAACTGCTGTAATCTCTCTTATTTATTTTGCTGTTCGAGCTGCCACTGTTGCAGGTTTTCTTGCCGATGCTGTAATCTCTCTTCTTGTTTATTTTCTTTCTCCTCCAACCACTGCTGTAGTCTCTCTTCTTGTTTATTTTCTTACTCCTCCAACAACTGCTGTAATCTCTCTTCTTGTTTATTTTCTTACTCCTCCAACCACTGCTGTAATCTCTCTTCTTGTTTATTTTCTTACTCCTCCAACCACTGCTGTAGTTTCTCTTCTTGTTTCTTTTCTTGTTCTTCTTGTTTCGTTTCTTTTTCCTCCAACAACTGCTGTAATCTCTATTCTGTTTTTTTTCTTTCTCCTCCAACCACTGCTGTGATCTCTCTTCTAGTTTATTTTGTCGTTCTTCTTGTTTCTTTTGCTGTTCTTGTATTTCTGCCATCAAATCTGCTAAGCTGTAGTTTGATTTGCCGTTTCTGTTTCCATCTTCCTTTTTTTTTCGTCCCACTCTCTGACACCAATTTGTTACTTGTGTGTTCGTTTGTTAATTCTCCGTAGAAATTCTTTCCGAGAAATTTCAGCGATAGAAGTCCTTTCTTAATCAAAACTAGTTTATTCTTTCTCGTTACAAACTATGTAATACACTTAATTTCCACAGTCACTTTAACTTCAACACACGCTATAATTCACAATGATTTACACATTTTACTTATGGCTTGACTCGATTATCTGTTCATATCTTCAATCTCTCTGTCTGCTATACCAGTTCCGATTAATTGTCACGCTTTATCTGGCACGCTTATAAACAGGAATAGAGGGGTCTAGCATATACTGGATTATTCGTGATGTTTCCCGATCCTTCTAGATATTCCTAACGTGTTACTAGCGTCACGTGACTTCCGCTGTCGTAACAATATTTTTATTTTGCATTATTTACTATACTTTTATGTTAATATGACAAGTAAGATACTGTTACGTCTCTGATCATTGTTAATTTCTGGTATAAATTCTTTTCGAGGAACTTCAGCGATACGAGTACTTTCTTAAATAAAACTAGTTTATTCTTTCTCAATACAACTTTGCAATACACAGAATTTCCACAGTCACTTTAAGTTAAACACACGCTATAATTCACAACGATTCACGCACTTTAATTACTGTCACTACCGCTCATTTCACTCAATTATCTGTCTCTATATCTGTCTATCTGCAATTTTATCTCCGCTTTATTTGCCGGGCTTATATACTAAAATATAGGGCGCCTAGAAAAGACTGGAGTTGCCAGGAACAGTCATGATCCTTCTAGAAACTCCAGCGCGCATGCTTCCAGCGTCGTGTGACTTTCGCTTTTTTTAGTATTGTTCGTCCCGAACAATAGCCACTTACATTAAACCACTAGATAATTAACAATAACTTAATTAAATGCACAGAATTTAC